CCCTGGGGGCCAACTGCGCCCTCAGGGGATTTGTGTGGCCTCCCTGGACTTGCGTGCGCAGTGGCCTGCCAGGGACCTATGGGATTACATGCGCCCTCCCCGGGCCTCCGGGCGCAAATGGCCCCACGCGCCCTCCGGGCTTACGTGGGCCCTCCCTGGGCCTCTGTGCGCAGCTGGCCCCCAAGCCCTCCAGGCTCTGCTGCGCCCTCCCCGGGCCTCCGCGCGGAGCTGGCCTCCTGAGCCCTCCGGGATTATGTGCACCCTCCCCAGGATCCCAGGCGCAGCTGGCAACGGCGGTGTCTGGGCATTTGTACGCCCTCCCCGGGCCTCTGTGCACAGCTGGACTCTCAGGCCCTCTGGGCATACGTGTGCCCTCCCCAGGCCTCCATGCGAAGGTGAATGGTCGCAGGGCTCCAGGTGTTATGAGAAACCAGTTTGGCTCTGCCAAACTCCAGAACCAAGAACTTCACGGGAGCTGAGGGCATTCCTGGGTATGGTCAGCTGGTGTAGACCATGGATTGTTAACTATGGATCGATGGTAAGGCGTCTTTATGAAACGTTGAAGGAGTCAATAGAGAACCACCTGTTGTGGAYCCCTGAATGCCAAGCAGCCTTTAGAAACTTGAAAAGGGCCCTGATGTCAATAGCAGCACTAGTATTTCCTGATTTATCAAAGCCCTTTGAGCTGTTTGTACATGAATGGCAACACCTGGCTATGGGAGTACTAACTCAGAAATTGAGGGCACGGAGGAGGGCTGTGGGTTACTTCTCCAAACAGCTGGACAATGTGAGTAGAGGATGGCCAGGATGTCTGYGGGCAGTAGCCGCAACTGTCCTTTTGATTCAAGAAGCTAGAAAGCTGACCATGGGACAGAAGATCACAGTCTATGTGCCGCATATGGTAATATCTGCTCTGGAACAGAAAGGAGGGCATTGGTTGTCKCCCAGCCGTATGCTGAAATATCAGGTTGTCCTATTAGACCAAGACGATGTGGAGCTTAAAACTACCACAGCAATTAACCCTGCAATGGTTTTGAACTCTGAATTAAGAGACTCTGAACCTCTATGTCATGATTGCCTGCAGACCATTGAACATGCATATTCAAGCAGACAAGGTCTAAGGGATGAGCCATTAACTAATCCTGATTTGGAGTTGTTTACAGATGGCAGCAGTTTTGTACAAGATGGAAGACGGATTGCTGGATACGCAGCAGTTACCACTACCCAAGTGTTAAAGGCAGAGTCCCTTCCTGCCAACATATCACCACAAAAGGCAGAGTTGGTGACGCTGAGCCAGGCTCTCAGAATAGCCGAAGACCAAAAGGTAAATATATGGACTGATTCCAAATGTGCATTTCGAGTGGTCCACGCTCATGGACCTATCTGGAAAGAGAGAGGGCTGTTATCTTCTCAAGGATCACCTATCAAGTATCCTACAGCTCTTACAGGACRTAAGGCAACCAAGAGAGGTGGCCATAATGCATTGTAAAGCAGTTTGGCCAGACAGCGGTACAGGTGGGAAATAGGTTGGCTGATAAAGGAGGCTGCTGAACAAGGCATCCTGGCTCTGGTACCAGTAAAAAGAATTGAACTCCCAGAGGTAAGGCCTAAATACAGTGAGGCAGATAAGAAATTAGCAGCTACGCTAAATGCAACATTGACTAATGAASGATGGTTAGTGACCCCAACAAAACAAATTATTGTCCCTCAGCCAATAATGACCAAGATCGTGGAAAGGAAACACAAACAAACTCACTGGGGATGTGAGGCTATGATTTCTAGTTTAGTAAATTCAATTGTCAGTGTGGGAATGACAGGAATTGTAAAATCTGTCACTGCAAAGTGCCCCCTATGCCTCAGAAATAATCCAATAAATAGAAGGAGGCCTCCCCCAGGAGTTATTAAGCAGGGCARTTCCCCTGGGGATTACTGGCAGATCGATTTCTCAGAGCTGCCAAGACAAAGTGGGCACAGGTATCTCTTGGTGATAACTAACACCTTTTCAGGATGGCCAGAAGCCTTTCCTTGTYGCGCCAACAGAGCACGAGAGGTAATTAAGGTGTTACTGAAAGAAACCACATCCATGTTTGGTGTTCCAATAGGGATATCCTCTGACYGAGGTCCTCATTTTGTGGCTGATGTAGTATAACAACTTGGGAAGGTTCTTGGGACTAAATGGGATTTACACAYTCCGTGGAGACCTCAGTCAAGTGAGAAGGTGGAGAGGATGAATCAAACTCTTAAACTGCAAATTAGTAAAATATGTCAAGAAACTTCATTGAAGTGGCCACAGGTTTTACCATTGGCCTTCCTGAGAATTAGGATCCAACCTAATGCAAGAAATAAAATCAGTCCATATGAGTTACTGCATGGGAAGCCTTATCAGGCACCAGAACTCCCTGGAGAAATGCATGTAAAGGGTAACACAGACTTGCAGTTGTACTTAATCTCTTTAGGAAAGACTTTGGCGACTCTTCGACGGCACGTTGTCCTGACAGGACCTCTCGCTYTCGATACTCCGSTGCATCCTTATCAACCAGGAGATTCTGTCTTCATGAAAGCCTGGAGCTCAGAACCACTGAAGGAGAAGTGGAAAGGACCTTACCAAGTGCTCTTGACAACCCACACCGCAGTAAAGGTAGAGGGTATTGAACCGTGGGTCCATTACACAAGGATAAAAGCTGCCCCAGGATACCGGTGCGAACCTACTGAGGACTCCTTGCATGCGATAATGCAAAAAGTTGAAAACTGAAAATCTAGGAAAGTCATAAAATCTTCAGAAAAAGGAACTGCCATACTGTTAAATTTAATAGCATTAACTGTATTATGGGGAATGAGGGAAGGGCAGAATTGGGTTGAAGAGATTGTTAAGTTTAAATTCAATCGTACGACAACAACAGAATGGAGAAGGGTGAGCAGTGGGAATCATTCTAGTATAATCATAATAAGTAAAGACTTTAAGGGAGCAAGAAGTGGGTTTGAGATACAGTGGTCGGAGGGACCAGAGCTGGAATACTGTTGCCGCACAGGAGGGGAAAATCTCTCCTTTAATTTTGATGGAAAGATAGATAATAAGTATCATTATTATTTGAAAATCCACGTTAAAGGAATAAGAGAATTGTGGTGTACAGCCCAACACCAATCTCTAAAGGAGTGTTGCATTTCTATTAAGGTGAGGCATCCAAGAACTGAAGCTATTTGCACTATATATATATATATATATATATATATATATATATATTGGACTCAGAATGATATCAGATTCCCTGCATTATGCTCGTTACACATATCGCTCCGGCCATCTTCAAAGGGCTTCCTCTCCSTTACATAGAAAGAAGAGGGAAGCAGAAATGATAAATTGGGAAAATAACATGGTAATGAGCATTGTGAAAGGATTTGGAAGAATGAACAGGCTTTCAAGTATTACAGCCTGCCTCCCTATCCCTCGCTCAGCAGCAGATCCCCTGCCTTGGGGCATAATATCAATAAATATGATGGATCTCCTAAAACTGGATAACATAACCGAAGCCATAAGAAGAGCAAATGCAACTTATTATCTGGATAAAGAGAACAAATGTAGGCAGAGAGAAGTGATGTATTGCAGGATTCAATGCTATGGAGGAGAGGAGACAACAGAACTGGTTTTGGGCATCRAGAGAGCTCYTCCTGCCCAAGAGGCTCAAACCCACTGGAAGCTCCTTTTCTTGAATGGGAGGCTGAGCATGCAGGGGAGCAGGAGGTAGCAGAGCTTCTAACTTTGTGTGTCACACATAACCTTACTGCCCATAGTGTATCACAATTACCAGAATGCAACTTTTGGAGGAAAGGCCCCATAACCTGGACAAAGAGATTACAAGGGAAGTGGAGATATATCTCCCCAGTTAATTGGTGCTTCAGATGGGGAGATACACTAGATATAATTATACCAAGCCAGGATGGAATTGCACTAGAGAGGTTACATGTAAWATCACCCAATCCCAGTGTGAAAATGAGAGACCGCCTTTTGCTGTTAGACAAGCTTTTCAAGTACAATATATTTGTAAGGATGAAATTCAAAAATGCGAGAAACTCAGCATCGCAGCACCCAGGTGCAGTGTGTGGGTCCTTGGAGATGGGCTATGGACCACGCGACGGCCATACACTAATGTAAGTATCCYGGTAACCTTAGGATTGCTTACATTATGCCCCACTTGGAAAAGAGCACGTATGAAGCCCCAAAATTGGGGAAAAATTAAAAGGGCACCTAAGGATGAAGATGATGATTGACCTGACAGGTCCAAGACCTTAGAAAGGATATGGAAACAACATGGTTAAATAAACTTTTAGGGGAAATAGGAGAGATTTCTCTCAATGGAGGGTTATCATCTTTATTACAGACTATTTTGATTTTAATAATTCTTATAATCATAACCTGTGTAATAGTTCAGTGCTGTCCCTCAGTTATGGTGTGTTGTTCTCACCGGTGTTGCAGGAGGAACCGAAGGTATTACCAGAATTATSCAGTCTAAGTGCAGTCTARGTGAGCCTCCCAAAGCAGTCTTACTTTGGACATCTCAAAGTGGGGAACTGTTATGGGAAACCCCAGAAGATGCACCCAAGGACCTATTTTCACTGCTATTGCTGGTATATTATGAGAGAATATGRATAAAACAGCAAGTGTTACTGGATCATCATGAGARAACACAGACAAAAGGAGCAAACCCCRGGGGAAGACGACGATAGGGACCACAGTATCTTTGTGGAAGTGGCTGAAGCAGGACAGTGGGACCAAAACAGGGCCCACAGAGCCAAAATGAAGCCATATACGGAAGTGACTTCTGGGAAGACGACCACCAGCGGGCCTCAAAAAGACCACCAGGGACCAGCAAAGGGACAGAGGGGGCATGTGTGCGAGGCTGGGGCATCTTGTAATTAGTTCCAGGAAATTGAATGAATATGTATGATCATTTGCTAGAATTTAATGCATATGTAGACGATAGAGAAATATAAGTTTTAGCAAGCACATCTTACGGATGCACGATAGGTGGAGCTATCCCCCGTKMATCCAGCACTGCAATAAAGTGAATGCCGGCTTCTTAATGCTACATTGGTGTTAAGAGGTTTATTCCCGGTTTTCAGTGACACAGGGACCAGCTGCGCAGGGAGGCCTGGGGAGGCCGCACGAAAGCCCACAGAGCCCCAGGGCCAGCTGCACACGGAGGCCTGGGGAGGCCGCCCAAAATGCCGCAGAACTCCACGGGCCAAGTGTGCATGGAGGCCCCAAGAAGCTGCACGAAAGGACGCAGGGCCCCCAGGGCCAGCTGTGCGCAGAGGACCACGGAGGCCGCACGACAGGCAGCAGGACCCCAAGGCCGAATGCACAYGGAGGCCCGGAGAGGCTGCCCGAAAGCGGGCCGGCTGCCCGGGCCCAGCTGCACACGGAGGCTTGGGAAGGACGTCTGAGAGGACGCAGTGCCTCTAGGGCCAGCGGCGTACGGAGGCCCAGGGAGGCTGCCTGAAATGCCGCAGGTCCCACAGGGCCAAGTGCGCACAGAGGCCGGGGAGGCCGCCCAGGTGGGTGCAGGGCCCTGTGGCCAGCTGCACATGGAGGCCGGGAGGCCACCCAAGAGGGTGCTGGGTGCGCAGGTCCAGGTGCCCACGGAGGCCCGTGGACACTGAGAGGCACAGTGTCCCTGGGACCAGCTGCACACAGAGTCCTGGGGAGGCCGCCCGAAATGCGAGGTATGCAAACGTTGTCGATAGAACTGAGGCCAAGGATTAGAACGAGCATGTTTCATAGCTGCAAAAGGTAATTACCTACCTTAAAGTGACTCTAACATATACAGTGTGTGTCTAAGAAATTAYATGCAAGCATATTTGCATCTAATTATTTATGCCATGCTTTAATAGTTCATAAAGTATTTTACKGCTTGTAATAGAACTCATTAAAAATAATGTTGGTTATTCCAGAATGCAGTAGAGTAAGCTTGTTTTTAACCATTAAGCAATAGTAGAGGCTTATGTGCTGCATACTACAGTTCTGCTAGTAGCAATAAAGTAATACTGGTTTACTTACTTACATGGGCAGTTATTCTTATTTAAAAATAAAATAGGCTTTTAATGTTACGTGACACACGTATTTAAACTTTTATTTAAAAAGTTGTTTTAAAGAAAGCCTAATTAAAACAAAACACCCTGATTTTTTGAGAGCAAAAGATTTAAAGAAGCAAAATAAGTTTTGTTCCTTTATAAAATCAGGGATTCCTGCCTAATTACTGACTACTCAGAACCTGTGACAAAAAAATGCGGGTTCAGGGCATATTTATCAGCACCCTCCTGTAGTGACCTTACTGAGCAATGGCTCTGGCTTGGATACCCAGCATGAGCTTTCTGCAGCACGGAGGAAAGGAGATTTACAGGAGGATGACTTTGTCACAGACAAGAYGATGAGGTAAAAAGAAAAAAATGTTCATTATGTTGACTTTCATGTACTTCCTCAGCGTCTTCATTCAGATGGATTCGGTCTGGGGATTTACCTGTGGAACTGGGGGAACCAGGTATGGTGAACTGGTAGTTGTGGACAGCCAGATGGGTATAACTTCTTTTTGTCTTTTTAATAATTTCTTTGCTCTGGAGAGTTGAATACAGCTCTGTAGGAAGCCTGGGTACAGGCAGCTCCCAGGATCCAACTCGCTGCTGTATGCTTGCTTTTTAAAACCTGTGGTGTGTCTCCATATGGAACCTTAAAACAAAAGAGTCGCAGCCTGAGGCTGTTGCTGCACATCCTGTATGCAGATAAGTCACAAATAGCTGGGCGTATGTGTGGTGCAAGGTTAAAGCAATAACGTGCAGGTCGRATCATTCAAATAACTGGAAATCACTTTGACTCGAGGCCAAAAGCTTAGCTTGAGATGATATCAGTATGGGATAAAAAGAGGATAAACTAACAGGCTTAGCAGCCAGCTTGTTGAAGTCAGCATATAGTATCTATACTTCCAGCAGGAGAGCAGATGGCCATATATTTAAGGAAGCACCAGACAGGGAGTCAGGATATCTGAATTCTATTCCTGGCTCTGCAGCAATATTCCTATGTCACCTTGGGGAAGTCACCTTTTTTCCCTGTTTTCTATCAAGTTGTGAAATTAATATTTGCTTGCCTTAGAGAGCAAGTGAGAGGCCAAACTGATGTTAAAAAAAATACTTTGAAGCTTTAAGAAGAATGGAAAAGAAAACTGCAAGGTCTTGTGGTGTGGAAGAAAGGGCACCACATGGCCTCAAATGGCATGTTTGTCCCATGTGTTTACAACCTCTCCTCTCCAAGAACCCCCCACGCTTTTYTGTACAGATTTCAATGAGGGAATAAACGGATTAAGCTGCCTTCCACATTTGCTAGAAAGATAAGCAGCTGCTAGTGAGAACCTGACTAAAGAACAGGTTTTATTACTAACAGAGGCCTTATTTATGCCCAAGAGGGCAACAGGCTTCTTAAAGTTAGCTCTTTGTCCTACGATGCTTTTGCATTGGTTGTAGAATAATGTCTCCAAAGGCTTATATTCTGAATTCAGAAGTGCTGCTTGAGAGCTGAACATTAAGAACATACTTAAGCATCCTCTTTTACGAACAAACCTTGTGCCAAACTCCCCAGATTAGTCCAATTTCTAAGTCAGTTTAAAATGTTTGTGATTACTTGCACAGAACTTTCATCTAAAGCCCATTAAATTCAACAAGACTTCAAAGGAATTTGAATCAAAGACTAAGCAAGCAACTGTCATTCCTTATGAATCCAAAGCCCATTAAGCAGAATGACCTTATCTATCTTGATAACTATTTGGCTTCACAGGGATTCTGCTTCCACCACAGACTAAATAGTTTCCACTTTCAGGATGGAGGTGTAAGCTTTGGGCTGGAGTTGGATTTTAGCCCATAATTTGCTTCATTTAGCCCATGATCCGCTTCATTTGTCTGTATTATTTTTTAACAAGAGTTAATAAATAAATATATAACTTTGTGGAGTTTTTTTTTAATCTCTGGATCCTGAGTCCCTTCCAGGGGCTTCAACCCCAAATCAAAGCCAATTRTGATAAAAAGGCACAAACAATGCTACAGAAAAGACACTTGCAAACCTCAGTTCCCTTCACAGCAGTGGTGGAGAAAAGGGAAGTAAAAGGTAAGGGTAATCTTGGAAACATGGAATATGAGCTTCTAACACGAGTTTGGTTTTTCTGTTTCCTGTGCAAACACAGTTGCCTCTGGCCTCGCAGGGTGGAGATCCTTGAGCTCTTCTTGAGCCACTGCGGGTTGGATATCTGCGTGGAGGGAAATCCTCATCAATCCACAGCTCAGGATCAGGCTGTCTGGCAGATTTTAGTGTGTGGCAATAAAGATGGTAACAGGGAATAACGTAAGAAGACTCTTTGCTGGTAAGGATTTACAGASGCATCATGATTACAGTTAATATTCATTGCGTGTGTAAACAAACAGACTGACTTCCTTCCCTCTCTTCACCCCAAATCCCTGCAGTTTGCTGCATTAAATGACAAGGGAATGGCTTTAATTCAAGAGAGAGGCTGAGTGAAACAATTTCTTCCTGAAGAATGGTGCTATATGTCTAACTTTAGTCTAGTAAGACAGGAGTTCAGCTGTTTACTCTTGATATATGAACTAAATGAGAAATGTAAAATTTCGGACACTTACCAGCCCATCATTTTAAGTATAACGAAAACCCTTTTTATGACGGTGTAAAGTTGATGGTCTGTGGCCAGAGATTGATCTGGCCCAACTAAATGTGGTTTAGATGAGGCTATAATGTCTCCATCACTCCCTTTTAAAGAAACTCTGGTTGTTTCTTTCACATCTTATTTTTATCCAGCTACCTGAGTGACAGAATTGGTGTTAAGAAGGTCAAAAAAACACTCCATGGTGGCCTGATACAGGAGAGAGCAAGGATGGAGCTTGTCTTACCAGATCTCTCTGGATCTTCCTATCCCGGCAGTTTCTATGAACTGATCCTCACTAGTTGCCATGGAGSTTCCAGGTAACATTTTCTCGGATGTTAGGGATTTTGTCACATAATATTTCCAAGGATTCGAGGGTGGCACACAAAAAAATCGTCTTCGTTCTTAAAAGGGATGGGTAAGTGGAAACGATGCTGTGAATGGGTGTGTTTAGGGGTGCAGAACAGAGAGCTTAGAGAATTAAGAAAAAGTGAAACTATCAAGTGGAAGTGTATTTCAAAGTATAAAGAGAAGTTAATGATTCAACATGGGCAGGTTTCCTTCCGTAATAAATGTGGYTACATATTAGATTTGCACAAATTAAGTGCTCAGTACAAATCTGATGGATATTTGAATCTATCCTCATCACTCCTGCACTGTTGGGATTGGGTCCTTCGCCCACAAAGATGCAGCTTTTTCTTGGGATCATCTTTTCTCTAGGGATTCAAGTTTCTGGAATAGCCAGCTGGAAACTGCGATATGACGGGTGAGTGCGAACCAGGTGTTGGGAAGAACTGTGCACATGGTGACACTCCCAGGAACTGTGTAAAAGAATAATAACAATTCTGAAATGAAATCCTGGGGAGAAAGCTACTAAGCTGTAAGCTTTATACTAAGATTTGGAAAGAAATTCCCATAATGATGGGAAGGAAAAAGAGTGAGAAGATATGGGTACAGCTATGGAAGAGACTGAATGCCCCTCAGATGCACCTCAGGGTGCTCTACTTCCATCATTAGCTGAAAATCATTTAGCTTAGCCTCTTTTGTAATGAACTTCTGAAATAGGATGCTCTGGGAATAAAATGCCTTTTCTGAATATACTGAAGGGAAAATGATTGAACAAAGACACAAGATCCACTAATAAAAGAGGTTTTTGTGGAAAGAACAGTCAAAAGCAGTGGAAATGCTGATGTCCTGTTGGATATCCATGACCAAAACAAAAAGAGATAGAGCAGAAATAAAATACATCATGGAAAAAAAAAAAAGACAAAAAAAAAATCGTGTAATAAAAATAACTCATAAAATCGGGGAGTAAAAACTTGGCAAAACCTGAAAATATGCTAATGAAATTAAGCCAGACAATCTTCAAGCAAACATTATTGAAAGAGATTATCATGTTTTTATTTCTGACAATGATTTTTGAAAAAGTATGATTTGACTAGTTTTCCTGTATTTTTCATTCTCAGCTCTGTTTCTTAAGAAATTGGGTGTTATAAAATTGTGCTGTTTGCCTATCTGAACTATTTAGTTCCACTCACCTTAAATTTCACAAAAACGATATGTCTTTCTGTGCACTTACAGCAGTTGAGACTTGCAAGGAGGAGCACAAATGCAGTGAGGATGCTTAATGTCCACAAATAGCATTACAAGTAGAGTTTTCTAAAATAAATAAAGTGAACCAGTGCTAAATGTTTTTGCAGTAACTATATCCCACAGCTACATTTTTTTAAAATGGGGAGGAAAATGAACACACCGCACATTTACTGCAATAAGTTCCTTCCTGGTCTGCCTGTCCTACACCTCTCCTGGCATTGCTGCATACAGTCACCACCTCATCCTTTATAATATTTTATTTCTGTTGTATAATATTTATATTTGTAGCAGGGACTCACTCAAACCTGATGAAGTTTGATGAACTGTGAAGAATTCGATGAACCTGTAGTAATGAGTTCTTCATCTTGGTTTCTATCTGCTGTCCAGAACTGAAGCTGCCACCCACGCAGGAATTGAGAGAGCCCTTAATAGCCCGAGTGTGACTTTGAGTTGAGCAATTGCACAAAGATGAAGCAACCAGGAAAGACTATCAGGGTTGTTGGGTTTTGTCTTTTTTTTTTTTTTTTTTTTTTTTTTTTGTCATTTGCTCTCTGCAACAACCTCAATTAAAGATCTGAGGCTATGAGCATCCCAGAAATGCAGCTTGTGCTGAGAATAGTCTTTTAATTTGTAAGAAACATTAGCTGTAGTATCATAAAATTGTTGTCTTACATGGTCACATGGGCTGACTTTGCAATTCAGCACTGAGAATCCTAGTCCATAACCATAAATGAGTTTGTGCTTTCTAATCTTAGTGTACTATTAAAAATGATCTGTCTCCACACTGGCTATTGTAAAAGGTTTATCAGTAAATAAGGGCTGGCCATCTGGCAGCAATCTGACTGTCTGGCATTTCTTTCATTTGGTGTAATTAAGACATAATGTCAATGAGGATAGAAAGATATTACAGGATATTGTTTCCCTTCCTGGTGGACAAAGAACAAAGCAAGCCCAGGCATTAAGGGAGAATAAACTCTGAAGTGCAGCTGAGATGTTTATTCTCCTAGCAAAGATGTTTATCCTGCATCTCCAAGTTCCTATTGCAAAGATATCATGGCTGTCGTACCAAATGGTTAGCAATGCAAATGCAATCATTTTGCCCCATAAATAAGGGTATATGCTATATGCTATACATAACTATATGCTACCAGCATCTGCTGAACCAAAAGTACACTGTCCATTTTAACTATTAAGTTTTATGCTGGTCTATTAGCAAAGGTGATATATTCAAGAGAGAGATGTTAAAAAAAATGCCCTATTTTTCAGTTAATAATGTGAATGAATAGTGAATTCTATTTGCATGTATATTAGGCTGATAATTGTATATTTGTGTATTGAATCACAAATGGTAGCTGTTGCAGTTTGAATGATGAGAGCATATTATATTGATGACCATAATGATTCCCCATGCAAGGTTTCGGCAATAACAATTTCTGATACAGAACCTCTAAGTGTAAAACTTTCTCTGTTTTTGTACCCACCTTGCAATGGTTTCAAAACCCACAGAAATCTGTGAAGGAGACTTAAGTGAAGCAGTGGTTATTGGTTATTAATGAATAAAAACATTTCTCAGGTTCATCACATCAGCAGTGGATAATTGCATTCTCACCTTTGAGTGATGCAACACAGTCATCAAAGTCTCCTCCTCACTGCAAAACTCTTGCATTGGAAATGTCACACTTCCCACCAGTCCTGGAAAGGGGATCTCAATGAACACTGAAAAAAAAAGCTAGAATCAAAATTTTGAAGGTTTTATTTCAGAATAGAATTTACAGATTTGCTTCTTCTGCAATTCAACTGTTTTAATTTGTTCTCTGTAAACTTGGACTAGTTTTCTTCCACATTAAGCCTACAAAAATATAGAGTTTCATGGTGACTAATGAAAATATACACTCAGAAACCGAATCTATGTGCCTTTTGGAAAAAAAAAAATACAAAGTTACCACACAGCCTGTACCAGAAATTGTTCTTTCCTTTCAAGACAGTAAGCAAATGTGAATTTGGAGACAACTCTCTTCACCATTGTTTGAATAAATTGGTTATTCTCATGGCAAGCATTTAGTGAGCAACGTTTGTATACCATGGCTATCTAACTTTCTTGCACTCTGAAGCAGATCAGCAAAACATGAATCCTATCTGAAATAATTCCTGAACAGGAGGAAGGGAAAAAAAAAGTGATATCTGATCAAGTAAACAGATGCCCCAGCAACAGAAAACTCATCTCCCTTGGTCCTACAGACAGCTAGAGCAATCCAGAAATCCATCCCTGGGACATGCTTTTGTTCAAGCAGCGCTAGTTACAGGCTCTTTTTGTCCTTCTGCATGACAACAGGCCTCCTCTTGACTTATGGAAATTACAGAGATTTTAGCAAGTATTAAAACTGATCTTGTTTCTCCACTGAATCTCCAGGGATCAAGTTTTAAAAATTGTGCCAAAAACACTGCAGCAGGTCCAGCATCTTCAGCATCTTTGCAACACCTTGCCGGTAAGTAAGAATTACCAAGGTGCACTAACAGCAGACAAGGGTCTTGCTCTGTCAAACAGATTTGCATTGAAGTTTGGATAGAAACGACATAAGAGTTAGCTTGAGAAAGTTGTTTTTGGTTTTTTGTTTGTGTGCTTGTTTGTTTTTACCCTTAATTTAGGGTTGACTTGTTCCTTCACTAGCTGGAGAAATTTATGGGGAAAAGATATGGGGAAAAGATAGTTTCCTTGTGTGCCAGTGGTGCCTGAGTCAATGGAAACCCTAAGCCCGTGCTGCACACTCAAGGAACAGATAGCTGGGGACTGTTTAAGGGTGAACTGGAAGAAATGCTCCTTCCATGTATTGATCTGCAGCTGCTCTATCTGAAATATATTTTTTCATTCTGAGAACAGAGCTTAATTTTTGCATTCCTTTCTTCTCTTCTGCCCAGCTGGATCTGTGGAAGCCCTTGTTGCCTGAAGACATCTGGACTGGAGAAGACCTGCACGTGAGGGTCCCAGCCCCTCTGGTGCAGGAGGTGAAAGACAGCTTAGATGAGCATCTCATCTCCTACGAGTATGACCCCTAATTTCCTGATGGGATAGTCTGGCTTGAACAACCTCCTTTGCTATCACAAAAGGCCAAGCCCTTTCGCATGAAGCGTCAGCAAATGCTGGTGATAGGACCTGACTTTTGTCCCCAAATGGCTTCCACTCCACCTGGCACAGATGCCATGTCTATCTATGAGTTTAATGCCACTGTTTATTCACCTCGCAGCTGGGCTGTGAATTTGGAGCTGGAATGTCTGTCTTTCCTCCTCAGTGGCAGAGGATGGCTCGGAGATGTAAGACTCAACCCTCGAGTCAAGCCAGGAGGCCAAGCTTGGTCCAGCTGCCACTTACAGGAGCCTGCTGTGCTCTTGGGCAGGATGAGTCCTCCCTATTTTGGGGAACCTAAAAGTTTGGTCAATGTTACTGAAAAGAAGCAGAGTCTCTGTTGCTCCTGATTTCCCTGCCTGTCTTTTGTTGCTTCTCTGCTTTGGAGAAGAGCCCTTACAAAGGGAATTCCTTCAGAATTGCAGGCTCCCTAATGCCCTCACCCTGTCACTGTGGTCAGGATGGGGAGAATTTCCTGCTGCCATCGAGGGCGGTCCCAGACCAGCGGCTCAGCAGCAGGTCCCCACCGTGCACGTGCTGAGAGCCACCTCCAGCAGAAAGTCCTGCGGTGCTTCAGCGTGTCCACAGCTTGGCCACTCACCGTGTTTCTGCTTCCAGCCAGAAGGTCTAAATCACTGGGACAGTTTCAGATACACAGAGTGTTCACAAAGCCAACTGGGATTAAACAACCGCACAAAGATCTATTTCGCACAGGTCAGGCTCCCACGGAGAACTGATAATTCTGTAGCCATCCAGTGCTCATGAGCAATGGCCCCTGGACAGCCAGTGACACTCACTCAGCAAAGATAAGCTAAAGCAGGACCGGACCACTTGGAAGCTGTTTAGAATTGATGCTGATCTTGACATCTGGCCTGGCAAATTCCTCCTAGTGAGTGTGATGCCCTGACAACTAGCGTCGGGTTTAGATACTCAGGGCTTAGACTGCATTGCACAAGATATTTAATCTCGGATTTATATCAAGGCTTTTCATGTTCTAATGGTTTCAGTTGATTTTAGTGTAAAATTTAAGTCTAAGCTGAAATTAGAAGCTTAGGGTTTTTTTTTTTTTCCTCTTGGATTGGTGCCAGAACTGTGTTCATACTGTGTAGGGTCCAGAAAACAAAAGTGGTTTATTTCAAAGGGAAGCCGAAATTTTGACTTCCTTGCAGCAGGGTGGAGAAGAGGAGGAAAGCAATGTCAGAGTTAAACTTCTTGTAACAGATTCTAAGCAGAAGTCACCTCTTAGAAGGTAGTTGACATGCAAGGAAAGTAATTTAACAGTTAGCTGTGTAGTTACAGAGACATAAATGACAAATTATAATCAGGACATCAATATTCCGGCTCTGTCAAACTGCAATTTCAGTTTCAGAGCAATCTGAGAGGCTTTGTGTGTGTGTGTGGTTGCAGTTCATGGGAATTTGCACTGCCTAAATTTTAGTTTGAAGCTCAGATGTGAATAAACATCAAAGTGAAACTCAGCTTCAATGCTCTATGTGCAGCTTCCAGAAATGCSGACTGATGCCAGTGTCAGCAGAGGAGCCTGTTAGCCCTTACAGTGTTCGACAAGAGCAATGTTTAAGCTACCTTTGCAGTTGTCTTATCAAAAGTATTTACAATGAGCACAGATTTATAACACTATTACAAGGGGTTATTTCCAGTGAGAAAGCACAGCACGTGATCCAAAGTCCTCTGGAGCCAAGGAAAATGTTTTACTGACTCCCTTGATCATGGAATCAGGCCAATATTGTGCTAGTTTCTGGGTTAATTTGAGCTAAAATAAGAACATTTTAAAGAAAAGGAAAAAAAAAAAAAGGCTTTGTTGAGCTGTTGTTGAACGTTTTCCATCTTCCCCTCCTCTCTCCTCAGCATCCTGAAACAGGACGTGCAGGCACTAGTGGATCAGAGCACGCCCAGGCTGGGGGGCAGCCCCAGGCAGGGGCCAGCAGGCTACAACTACACTCRGTACCATCCCATGGAAGAGGTAAAGAGGAACCCGAGGCTCCTCACCGCGGCTGCTCACTTTGCTGCTGCTTTATCAACGCCGCAGGAAGCTTTTGCAGGAAGCTCTGCTGAAATCAGGGTGCTCCTTCTGCCTTCAAGGGTGTTTTCTCTTACTCTTTACTAGAATCTTAGYCCAATTGAATTGACTGTGAATTTGCCATTGATTTGATCAAATCTTCACTTCCTCCCTGATGAAAACATAAAAGTTCCGTGCGAAGAGGCCATGTTATTTTTCAAGAAATATTCTAAGTTTTAATTCATTGGCTCACTACTTATTTAGCTGATTGTGCTTTATTATTATCTTTAGCACTATTTAATCATTGAAGCCTGAGTATTTTTGATGCTCAGCTGAATGTGAAGCGCAGTGACGGCTGCTGCCTCTGGCATCCCAGCAGGCAGGGAGAAGCAGGGATGAACACTGGGACGCCAGGAGGAAAGTGCCATTTAGGGAGGATTGCTGGCAATTTCAAGGAGAATAATGAGGACTTCTTGGTGCTGTGATTCACAGAGCAGTGCCTAAGCCTGGGCAAAGGCCCAGCACTTTGAATCCTTACTTTTAAGAGAGAAATCTATCCTCAGGTACTTTGGGTCTGAGCTGTCCATCRCCTAGGACTGTTGCTGAACTCCAACATGGAATCCATACTGATATGGAAGAGACTATAGGGCTGTTGTGTAGGTTTGATGGTATCACCCTGCAGCTGGTGAAATCAAGAGAAGTCCCAAATAAGTCACAGGGCTGTATGGGCATCCACTGCTGTGAGGGATGATGGCTCGCTTGCTCCAAGGCAAGTGAAAGACCCTCCATCAATGTTAAGTGGTACCACACACTGAAATACTCCGAGAAAAACACCACTTGTCCGTGCAGCAAGAAATGCTTTAATTCCTGCTCCTTATCAGCAGGAATTTTCTGTGACTATTTCAGATTTATCAGTGGATGACTCAAGTAAAGGACAGTAACAGTGAGCTGGTGACTCAGCACGACCTGGGAAAGACAAGCGAGAATCGAACTATATATTATCTGCAGGTAAGAGAGGACTGGTTTTTAAATAAATAAAGAGCATTTCTGCAAAWCAGGACATGGCAGAGGGTTCAGATTTTTCCTAAGACAGTGCTAAGACCACCTTTCACATACATTATCACCACATTCATGCTATTGCTCTTACGTGGTGAAAACAACACATTGGATGGAATTTCGAAATACAAATCAAGCTAAGCCTGGTTTGGTGACAGCCGTGTGTGAGGATGTAGACTCACCTGTTGTTTTGTGGTTATTATCCTGCAGAACATACAGCTTTTCTACTATCACTGTTCCATGTCGTTTCTTTCTTGGAAGGCCTGATAAAAACAATAGTGTTAATGGTAAAGTTAGTTATTGTCTAACATGTTCCTACCCTGAGCAAAATTAGCTTGCCTGCCTTTTATGCTACTCCTTCTAAAAAAAAAGAATCTCCAAATAAGAGCAATCCATACTCTGAATGACTAATATAAATGAAGAAGAAATTGTTTTATTGGCAGTCTTGTTCAACAGAGACTTCAAGATTCCTGCCCCGAGATACTACAGAAATTGGGTTATTAGGAAGGAAAGCCTGTCCTAATGAAGTCTATAATAATAATTATCTCAGATGGCTCAGCAGTATACCAAGGAACATCCCTTTCTTCCTGTAATAGGCTGAGCTATTTTATTGTAACTTAATAGTTTTCCACACCATCGTTTTTGCGCTCTCTCAGATCAGTCAACCATCAAATAAAAACAAAAAGATCATTTGGATGGACTGTGGGATTCATGCCAGAGAATGGATCTCTCCAGCCTTCTGCCAGTGGTTTGTGAAAGAAGTGAGTCCCTATTTTTCCTGAATAATAATAATAATAATAATAATAATAGTAATAGTAATAATAATAATAAATTACTTTCAATAGTTCAGGTCTCTTCAGTACGTTGGCACCAGGTGCTAGGCATTTTCTGTAAAATTATGACTTTCAAAATGAATAGATTGCATAGATACTTGTGGAGACATAAGATCAAACGAGTGTGAGATGAGATATGTGAGGATATTTGTTAGCATGTGATGTGCTCCATCTGAATGGTTTCAAAGCCACTGAACTCAAGGGCAGCCTCTCCATTTGCCACCGTGGCTCTTGGATACGGCCCCTCTGCTTCACAAAGCCRCAGTTCTCCCAGGATAAAAGGGCTCTGGGATGAAGCGATGTTCCCCAGGCATTGGAGGCTCCTGGCCCACAGCGTGYGTGGTATCCATGCAGCTTCCATCCCCTCAAGACTGTATCAATATGGAAAAAAAAATGTATTCAACTGGATATATTGTCACTATCAGCAGGTATCTCAATAGACTTACGGATTGAGCAGATCTTGGATACCATGGTGAAGACTTAGTGAACTTTGAGAGTTCTAAATAGTTTTTTTGCCAGGGATTATCACCTGATTCTCTGTTAAGCTCTTTGTATTTTTTCTTATCAGATCCTACAAAATTACAAATCTGACCCAAAGATAAGCAGATTTCTTCAGAATTTGGACTTGTACATCTTGCCGGTCCTCAATGTTGACGGTTACATCTACTCCTGGGAAAAAGTAAGTAGAGAAAAATCTATGAACTGAAAAGCAGATGTGCACAGCATGWTTCTGTTAACTTTTGATACAATAATTGCAGTTAAAGAAAGAACAGTAGCCACAATCATTACTCACGTAAATTCTCTCATGGCAGAGGGATTTTGTTTCTTCTGGTAAAACAGCAGTCACTTGAGACCACAGAGCTGAAAACTCCTGCAAATGTCGTGAGCCTTAGGAAGGAAGGRCAAAGCTGCAGGAGCTGTTGCTCTGGGTAGTGGGTGACAGCACTAAAAGCATTCCTCGAGGAACCAGTTCTCCTTCACACCAGCTCTAAGCTACCTGATGGACCCACCCTGAGGAGGAGCAGCACGAAGAGAGCTGACAGTTCCTGAGATATCTGGCTTTAAAATGGTTGTGTCCTTCCAAATAATCTTCCTTTTCTGATAGGGAGGATAACGTCATTAGGTTTCTAGGCCCCTGAGCCCAGCAGAAGCACCTTTCAATGCAGGACCTTAGCATGGCCAAGAGAACAAGCCTCCCAGCGTGTGATCCCAGCTGGCTCCACAGCAGGTCTGGAGCACGTCACTGGGGCCATGGGCAACGCGGAGGCTCCTGGTACAGCAGGGTGGCAGCATTAGCTGACAAGGAAGCGTTCATCTTCTCGAAGCTCAAGTGAACATCTGCTTGACTATGATCTCTCCTGGGCACACAGGGAGCCTCTCAGCGCCAAGACTTTCTTAGGAGCACAACACTGCATGGACATAGCTGAGTGCTAAGGAAATAGGATGCTTTCTCTCAGGAGGCTCGTTTCAAGGTGCATGCAGGCTGTGGAAGACATCAGCCTGGTACAGTAGATCATGAGATGTTCTGTCAGGAAGCTTTATCCCCCTGCCTTGCAGTTAGAGTCCTCTGCAATGCAAGAGCTACCCCGAATGAAGACGTCTGGAAAATGGGAGCCTTTACATATTGATTGTAACTGGGGTTATTTGTGTTTAGGAACGCTTGTGGAGGAAAAACCGTTCTCCTCACATGAATGGCACCTGCTATGGAACAGATCTGAACCGGAACTTCAATTCCTCCTGGGGCAGTAAGTCCTGAGTGCTTCAGACCCGCTACAAAAATATAAAGCCAGAATGAGAGCTAGTCTTTGGAATAAAGTGATTGCCTTTAAGGAAGGAATATTCATTTTGGTGTCATCAAGACGTATGTAAAAATAAAAACCTGGTTTGTAGAAAATTCAAGTCACCGGCTTTCAGCCAGCATTTGTTTTTGCAGGCTCCTTGTGTAACTATACCTCCAATTCACTGCAGAAGCAGCATCAGCTGCAGGCAGTAATGTTACGAGTGGGTCCCTTACACCAGTATTTGTGTTTGCCGTGAATTTCAAGGAGCCTCCAGAAGTTCCTGGGCAGGTGGGGCAGTGTGGTGCTGCTGTCGGGGCTTCTGCTGCAGCCAGCCTGCACGTCTGCCAAGTGCTTCAGTCTCGTAGCAAACTGGAGTGGCTATCGACAGTGAAAAACAGTGAATAGTGCCTCTGAGCTGAGCAGTATCCCTGTCCACACACACACCTTAACACTCTAAGGAAGGCTTCCCTGTTCCCCCTGAGCTGCGGTTTACGTATTTCTCTCTCATTTCATTCACTTTTTGTCTTCCTCCCCAGGTATTGGCGTTTCTTATAACTGCACCAGTGATATCTTTTGTGGCTCTGGACCAGAATCAGAGCCAGAAACAAGGGCTGTGGCCCGGTTCATCGAAAGGAAGAAGGAGGACATCGTGTGCTATTTAACTATTCACTCCTATGGACAGTACATCCTCACTCCATACGGCTCCACGACCAAACCTCCAAGCAACAACGAAGAACTGGTAGGGCAAAACATTCCCTTCCACACTGGTAGAGGGCAGGTTTAGTAATGTACACAGAGTTTTCGTGGTTGTGTCCAGAAAGGGGATTCCAAACACSGCCACGAGGAGAATGGGAGCAAAGTAGGCACCTATTTTTTTTGATATTTCTCCCCCTTGGCTTCCGAATATTTTAAATTCAGTTCATTACAATGTGTATTTGTGAACCTTGCTAGCCTACCCAGAATAATTGCCTCATTTAATGGTACTAATGAAAATACTATTCCTATTTTGAATTTATAGATGSAAGTTGCAGAGAAAGCAGCTGCTGCCCTGAACGGAAAGTATGGGACCAGTTATCAAGTAGGATCAACCTCTTCAATTTTATGTAAGTTTATTTATTTTTCCCTTTGATTGCTGCTTTTCAAAGGAGAGAGTCATTCTTGTGACACAGGTAGCAGTAAGGACTGTTGTGCTGAGTTTCTTCTTTGAGTAATATTTAATGGGCTAGTTCAGTGCAACATCTAAGTGGCAGTCGCTGGAATTCAAGATAATCCTGTGTGCTCAAAAGCCAGCTGCAGGAAAGGAGAAGCGTTGATCAGAGGCCAGTTCTTGCACAAACTCCTCGCAAATACATCGCAGGGGACAGAATGAGATTGGCGATAGATCAGCCTGACCCTGCTGAAGTCAGCAGCAAAACTCCTGCTTGTCTTCACTGGAATCAAGCAACAATCAGGATCCCAGTCAGGTCTATAGTTGCTCCATGAGATGCTGGCGCGAAGCAGCGGTCAGGAGTCACTGCACGAGCRGTGCAAGGATAAGGGAACATGTCCATGCCTATGGATGGCCCTTTGCCAGCGCTTGTAACTACATGGAACGGGTAAAAAGAAAAGCTCCATGAGGCAGAAACGCAGCGACACAGGGAGGAACCAGATTTTTTTCAGCTCACAGAACAAAATTTTGCTAACAAGCCAATATGCGAAGACATTGCAAACAGTGTCAGCGGAGGAGGTGAAGTACAAACAAACGGCCAATCCATCTTGTATCCTACAGCAATGACGGCAAAGCCCTGGGAGCAGAGACTCCCTGGAACTCAACTGCTGTGGTACAGCGCTGTCTCATGGGGAAGTGGATCACTTAGGAATTTCTAGGGAGTCTTTCAGTGTAACTGAGAGCCACAGCACCCAGGAGCTCTGTTCTCCCTGGCASAGTGATACACGATTGCTGTTGAGTTCAGGGCTTCTGGGACAAGCTTGTACTAAGCYGAGCAAGAAGGTTTTGCCAAGAGCACTGCCTAAGAAGTCTCTGTATCTCCTCTGTTCTGAAATTTGCAGACAACAACTCGGGCTCCTCACGGGACTGGGCTCACATGATCGGCATCCCCTTCTCCTACACGTTCGAGCTGCGGGACAAAGGAACCTACGGGTTTGTTCTGCCCGAGGAGCAGATCGAGCCCACGTGCGAGGAGACGATGCTGGCGGTGACAACCATCATAGATGCCATGGAGCAGAAGTACTTCCCAAATGCAGGGCTGACACTGACCTCCAGCAGCCTGGCCCTGAGCCTCTGCCTGGGCGCTCTGGTTACAGGGGCTGTTTTATAAACATGTCRTAGAGAACCCAGCAGGAGACTCCCATACGAGGGTCCCTTTGGAACGGCAAAGTTATACTAGCAAGTGAACTAAATGTCAATTATTTCAATAAAGACTGAAAAAAATGCAGAAAACATAAGGCACTCACTTGCATTTTTGAATAATTCTTTTAGGGGAGGAGGAATGGARGAAACCTTGTGGCAGGTTCCTAAGCCTGACTCGCTGGCTGCGAGAGGTCAGCTTGAATAAGCACTTCTTTAGTGAGGAAAGCAGCACCAGTGCCTCACTCTTCAGCGTGTTTCAGGTGCTCGCCAGGCCTGCCCAACACGTCTGCAGCAGCAGCAGCCCTGCCCCTGCACTGTTCTCTGCACTGCTGCCCACACTGCTGCCCAGGTCTTGCTTGCAATCGACTTAGCTGTCCCAATTCCCACTGTAGAAAATTGGGCAGCTTCCTTGATATCCATGTTCCTGCCCAAAACTTGATGTGGGGATATCCCAGGAAACATGAAGTCCCAAACTTGGCGGAATGTAACCATCAAGAGTGGCCAGAAAGAAACTACAGAGCCAGCTAGACCAATGTCTTGTCCTTTAAATGCACTGTCCTTTAAATGCACTCAAATAAGTGAAGACAAAAACTGCCCAGTTACTTCATTGATATGAGAGGGATGCAGATGAAGTGCTCTGCTGTCTCACAGGGCAGACCAGAGAATTATTTCCTTGCATTCTCAATTTGCATCAATAATTTCTCTTCAAACCGTGTGACTGGTGGCTACAAATATTCTCCTGAAGCCTGACTCCCAGGAAGCTTCATTAGTTATAGAAAGGGTCTGCAGCCCACAGCAATCTGAAAAGAAGTATATATAACCTATAAAAATATCTGTTTTCCCTTAGCAAATTTCAAGCTTCCACTTGAAAGCATTSTGACTGGAGATTTCCAACAAAGTATTTCCAGCTTTGGGGAAGAGAAAGCCTTTTCTTTTTTCCCCCTTCCCTGACTGCTTGAAGGTTAGTGATGAACAAATGCAGATTAAAAGCTATTGCCAGAAAACAGAAAGATAAAGGACATGGAGAGGACTGAAATATGATTGCCCTGAAGTTAAGATGTACAGAGAGACTCAGGCTCAGATCTTGGAGAACCTGTGACAGACCCTGGGAAGGTTCCTTTCCCCGCCAGCAGGCAGGGGATAAGGCCCCCGTGCCTGGCACCTGGGCAAGGGTACAGGGTTAAGCACAGTATTAGCCTATTCAGCCTGCTGGGCTTGGATTACTCGTGAGCAAATACACCCTACTAAAAGATTCTTTTATTCACTGATGTTTCTTTCCAATAATTTTACCGAGGTGCATGTCCCTGCCCTTTCCTCCTCACAGTTAAACACCCAAATCATGTTTGCTCAACTTAAATAATTAGTATTGCAAAAGATTAATTACTTCTGGTCATTCAGGTTACAGAGCCAAAACAAGGGCATCCCAGATTTGGGCAAGTGTGTGCTATATTATCCTTGATAGTATTGCTCCTTTAATGTGAAATAGAGACTGAAAACCGGGCCATCAAGTGATCTCATTCCACTTTATGCAAGGAGCTCCTCTCTTAATTTCTCCTCCATGCTATGTTAATTTGCGAGAGTCCTCGGGCTACAAACAAGTTAGAGATGCTGCCCTCATTAAGGAACGTGCAGATGTCACCAGGGAACTRTAGTATTAAATGAATAATACAATGTGCAGCCTCATTTCGTGGAGCATCACAGGAGAGAAGATCAAAAACTACAGTTTGGAGGGGAGTGTGGAAAACATCTCCGTCTGTTGACCTTTCTGYGAAAGCATTTGGGAGGCAAGTTGCTATTTCCTGATAAATTACTTAGGCTCCAAAATACCACCCAGATGTTATTCCTTTGTGCAGGTTCTACTGYAAGAGAGAAGCAGAGACAGGGCCTGAATGAAACTCCCACGTTTGAGCACCTTGGACTGGGCATAAAAACTGGAACCAATCTCAGCTGGTACAAACCCATACAAACACAGAGAGGCAGTCCCAGCGTGTTGCAGACATTATCACAGATGGAAATATGTTGATTTACGGCAGCAGAAGAAAGAGCCATTTGTCTCCCAAATCCCTCCAGACAAAACTCCCCGTTCCCAAAGGAGCCTGGGATCTACTTCAGATAAAACCAACAAGCTCCGAATGGAAACCAAAGTGTCCTGAGCCAGTTTTGGGTTCCCTCAGCAAAGATCCTGAAGATACTCAAGGTCCTAGAAAGCTTTTGTGTCATCCCCTGCATGTTTTCATTCGGCTTCATCCAGGGATGAGTTTTCTTGACTAGCTGGGGTGTCCAATTATACCATACACAAAAAAACCACAACAGAGCCTATCGCTTTGACAGGACATGCTGTGCTCATGATTTCCATCGACATAAATGGAGAGCCAAAACTGCTTCATTTTCACTGCTATTAAGCTGAGAGGGGACCAGTGATAAAGACAAAAGAAGCAGAAAATGTGAGTGTGCATTAGAATTACCAAATTTCAGGCACTTTTGCTGAAAATTGTAACTAAAATGAATATAATGTTTCTTGTATCCTCCTTACAGCAAATCCGGACGCTTCCTGCTGGTATAAAATAGGAATAATTTGATGACAACCTGTCATCACTTGCTTCTGTCTGCCAAATCTCGGGGTGTCTGTTCATGGGCATGGCAGGCAGGGATAAAACCGGCTTCTCTTGTGGAAGTTGGCAAACAAGATGACTGTGCTGTTCCCAGGCACGCGGAAAGGGCAAGGGCAGGGTCGTGCTCACACCTTTTAATTCTCTTTGGTGTAGTGCAGCATGCACGGGGTGCAGCTCCTCACAGCTGCTCTCTGCTGTGGGGAACAGCTCAAACCAACGCAACGTGATCTTGGGAGGACTATTAGGGTAGTGTAATACTGAGTGCAGTGCAAAAACCCCCGGATGAGGGAGAATATTTGGGAAGATGAAGGAGATTCACTGGACTGAGGACAATGTAAATGCTGCCAGCGCTACCCGTGGGAATGAGGAAACAGGCAGGTCAGAGATGATTCTTATACTCACTTTTCTAGCTTTACTTTCTTCCGCGTGAGTGTCTAAAAAAGCCCGAACTTGTTTTGCAAATGTGAGCTCTTCTTGCTCTCCGACACCCATACAGCTTTACTGGGAGAGGGCTGAGGAGAAAAACGAYTGAGTGGTTTTATACTTTAGCTTCTGCTTGGAGAAAAAAAAAATTCATCTTGCTTGGCATAAGCAATGTCCCTTGTGGCTGAAAACACGTGATATTGGAACTGTGTCCAAATCTGTTGTTTGCTTCACCAATTACCTGTGACACTGACCTGAACCCATTAGGGTGGGATTTTGGACAGGCTTAAAGGGATCATTACCTGGAGGCAGAAGGCTGGGAAAGCCAGTTCTGTGTCAGTTTGCTGGGAATGATTATAAAAGGGTCATTCTTGGAGGCATCAAACTCTCCCACACCAGAGGAATATAATTTTATGGGGAAAAKGGTTGCACAGGAGTGCAGCAGACAAGATGCATTACTTGGCATCGCTCTCATTTCAGAGGCTCCCTGTTCATGCAGAGATCTGTGCAAGTGCCTTTGCCTGCTTCCTAGAGAATCCTATTAATTTGATAAACTCTTGTTAGTGCCTTAAATCCCTAAAACGTTACCCAAGGATATTCGTAGCAGCTGAGTAGCCTGGAATCAATAACAGCCTTGGGAAGGGGCAAGAAGGGGAATAAGGGTTAACAGCAATTATTCATGGAAAGCAATCTGAACCATTTTTTTTAATTTAATTTGGAGTGCCAAATGTAAAGGATTCTTGAATGCTAAGGCCATTTTAATCATGCTGATCCTATGTCTTATTGAGTAGGAACAGAGTATTACTCATTTTTGTGACCCTGAGTTATCAAGGACATGCTGGGCAAAGAGCCAAGATAATACAAGCTCAATAGTAATAATGTATACTTAAAGTTAGCATGATGGCTGTGCTCATTGGAGGAAGGGTAGGTCCTCCAGCTCGGTAACTGTTTGACTTAGCACTTGTTTTAGTGCATGAGAAACGTTGTAAAATAAAGCATATATCTTAGAAGGGGGAGAAAAGCTATGAAAGACAAGCAGCATAGAAAAGGGAAGAGGTAGTGAAATGATGGGGGTGGAAAAGCAGTGAAAAAAGCAGCTGAGGTCTGTTGATCAAGGTAGGTGCTGAGACAAGGCTGGCTCTCACCCTGCCTCTGCTGCAGGCCCAGGAACAGCCACATCAGTGTGGCTAAGAGTCAGTCCCACTGCCCAGCTATGCTGTTCTTCAGCACCAAAACAAGCAAAGGTCCCCTCAGATGCACTATGTTGATGTGAAAATGGCCCAATGTCTGAAAGAATAAGTGATTTGCTCTCAAACAGGCTAAGATGGCACTTTCCTAGACTGTAAACTTCCTAGGACAGAGACTATATCACTTCCCTGTCCAATCAAATACAGTGACATCTGCTAYAGAGCTTGTCTAGAGTTGAATGTTCTCGAATGCTGGACGTGATATTCTTTATGTACCTCAGCTGCTGCCACTCTGAGCGAGGTCAACACGTGGCTGTTGAAAGTCTCGCTTTTAATAGCAAGAGAAACTAGTCAGCAAAACACACGGGAACTGAAGAGAAAGAAACAACCGGCACAAGGGCACCGAGCAAGGTGAGGAACAGGGCACAGAATGAACCCAGATCTGTTGAGTGACCTCCTGCTGTCTCACTCATGGGGCTAACCACACAAGCTAAGCCATCGAGCCTTACAATGAAACATGGCCTTGAAGGAAGAGAAACTGCTTCTAAAGCATAGGTCTGCTTTAAAACATAGAGCTTTCCGGAGCTAATCACTATTATTTATCACATATCTCTCACACAGTATTTTTAGCAATGTAGTGTGGATTTATCATTTTGCTCTCACGGAGAAAAAACCCAGGAGAAACATGTGCAAGTATCTTAGCAGGCTCTCTGGGGACGTACACACTGCTCAAAGGACACACTTTT